TGATGGAGAAGCTAAATTTCAAACTATTTAATCTGGCTTGTCTGCCGTATCAGACAGCTAGGTCTAGAGTCTTACTTTCTAAGCATGATCTTAGGAGAAGCAGCATCCACATCACTTGGGCATTTGAGAAACAAAATATAGACTCCCAGTTTCCACTCTGGACCTCTGACTCAGAACCTGCATTTCAGCAGGATTTCCATTGTCTAAACTGAAGGTGACTTTTTTTTTTTTTTTTTTTTTTTTTGTACTGGGGACTGAACTCTGGGACACTCAACCACTGAGCCACATCCCCAGCCCTATTTTGTATCTTATTTAGAGAAAGGGTCTCACCAAGTTGCTCAGCACCTCACCTTTGCTGAGGTTGGCTTTGAACTCTCAATCCTCCTGCCTTAGCCTCCCAAGACCTGGGATGACAGGCATGTGCCATAGCGCCCAGCTTTGAAGATGACTTTTGAAGACCAGCCCCCATTCAAAATCCTCACATCCTATTATCATATGATTGAAGATGGAGAAGGGTGAACAGAGGATTGGAAAGGCATGGCAGAATCCTAGGGTTCAGAATGAAAGGGCTGTTAGAACCAGGTAGAGTTTCCTGGCAGGTGGTTGTGGGTGGAGGCAGGTCCTGTGAAGGGACAGTCTCTCCTGGAGAGTTTGCTGCCAGCACTCAGGAGAACAGCTGGGAACCCACTGAGATGACCCGATTGCTCTGCAGGACAGCAGGTTCAGATCCCAACATTCCTGGCGGTCCCCTGGCAGGCCTTTTAGATGGGTGGTGCCTGCCTGAAAGACCAGCCTTCTCTCTTTATCCTTCATTTTGTCAAATTCAGAATCCTCTGAACTGACTGAAAAATATCTTTTGTGCTTTTCTTTTGGGTCAAACGCATTTTACCTTATGTTTTTGTGTCTCAGATGGTTTCTTTTCTTTTCTCATCTCTCCCCACCCCACCTCATTTCTGCTTTAGCGTGAGCTGTCAAGGCGGTTCCTGCAACCCATTCTTACTTGTTTTAATTGCTACATCATGTTTTTGAGAAAGCCTGGAGTTCCTGTGATTTCTGTCCTCCCCTCCCTCCCTTCCCTCACCAGGCTTATGTCTGTCTTTTTTAAATACACGCTTTGCTTTTCTCGCTGATGTTCTTTCCCTGGGGGCTTTGTGGTTGTTTCTCTCTCCACATGGCCCTCCGTTTTGATTTCCCTGTGTTCCTGCTATTTATGTGTAAGAGCTATGAAATCTGAGCAGTAACGCTCGCTGGCAATGGAAGACGTGCTCAGCCTTACTGCACTCTCCTGTTCTTTTTGAGTTTGCTTTAAGAGAATCCTTCCCGATCTCTCTGTTAGCAAAACAGCAAGACTTTTTTGCTGCTCAAGCTGGGAGGTAGGAACAGGGGAAATGGATGGCATCAGAAGTACACAGAGAAGGGCCACTCAACAAGGGCTGTGGAGAAGATATTAAACACTTTTCCATCTGTCCAGTACGTAGCCATTCACTGATTGAACATTGCAAACCTTGAGTTCCTGGTGGAAGCCACACAGAGAACGGAACCACCTGAGCCTGGGCCTCAGAAGCTCACATACAGCTGGAGGTTACCAAACATGAATGGGGGACTCATGGAACAAAGTTCATTGCTAATGTCTTCATGGCAAGAGCGGAGGAGTGAAGCTTGCCCCTGTACCCAAATCTGAAAATAGGGAAGAAGCCAGGTGGCTAGAGCACTCACCATTTTGGAGTTGACCTTTGGGGTTTACCAAATGTTTCTTTAGGAAAGAGTGGTGGAAGGGAACAGGACAGGGAAGAGTCAGAAAGGGAGTGAAGGAAACAGGTGATATGGAGGAAAGAGGCAAGTCACTCAACAAGAGAGGCTCACATGGGACACCAAAGGCCTTGGGGAAATCTATATGGAAACCCAGGAGGTGGAGGCAGTGAGGCCTCAACCCTGGTGGTGAGAGTGGACAACCTCTGGAGGAGCAAGTTGGCTTTGAAACAACTCTATGAGTCTTTCCCGTTAGAACTGTTCTAACCTTGGGCGCCCAGGGGTGTTTCAGGGGAAAATGGGTTCAATTCCTGGTACTAAAAAAAAATACCATTATTACATCTAAAATTTAAAAATTCCTTATTATATATAGTCACTATTTGGATTCAGATCACCTCAAATTTATTTTACAGTTGGTTCATTTCAGTTAAGATCCACATAAGGTCCATGTATTAAATCTGATTGTTATATATCTTTTAACCAGTAGATTTCCTTTTGATCTTTTATTTATTTGTTTTTTTTTTTAAATCTATCTGTTGAAGAAAAACTATGTTGTTCATCTGTAGCGTTCTTGTGGTCCTGATGTGTTGAGCGTAAATATGATGATATATAACAGTTCCTTTACCCCTGTCGTTTTTGAATATTGGTAGTTTGATAGTGGTTTGACCAGATTCTGGTTCAGTGTTATGGGGTGGGGCAGGGCGGGGGCTGTGTTCTTCCATTAGCAGGCACACTGTCTGGGGATGAGAGCAGCTGCTTGATGCTCGATGCCCAAATCCACTGGTTCATCAGGCGTTGCAAACTGGTGATGTTCTGATCCTATCATTCTTCATTTGTCAGCTCAAATCTTCTAAAAAGGGAAACTTTCCCTCAACTTTTTAGTTACCCTAATTAAGATACATACAGAGGAAACATGACACATTTTATTTTTTTCCTTCTATAAGTTTCAAAACAATAAGTACATCCCTTATGCTTTTGGAATTGTATTTATGGGTGGCAAAGAGCCGAGCCTGACCTCTACATGGGAGGGTCTTACTCCCCTGCCTCACTCAAGTCTTTGCTCTCAAATTATAATAGTTTAGGGGCTGGGGATGTGGCTCAAGCGGTAGCATGCTCGCCTGGCATGAGTGCGGCGCTGGGTTCCATCCTCAGCACCACATACAAATAAAGATGATGTGTCCACCAAAAACTAAAAAATAAATATTAAAAAATTCTCTCTCTCTCTCTCTCTTTAAAAAAAAAATTCTAATAGTTTAGCAGGAGAGTTGTGAATGCACCCCCTGACTTTTTTTTTTTTTTTTTGGTATCAGAGATAGAACCTAGGGGCTCTCTACCACAGACACACAGCCCTTTTTAGAATTTTTTATTTTGAGACAGGGTCTCACTAAGTTACTTAGCTAAATTGCTGAGACTGACCTTGAACTTTCGATCCTCCTAACTCAGCCTCCTGAGTTGCTGGGATTACACTCATGCCCCACTGCACCTGGCAAATACATCCATTTTTATGAAGGAGGAAGTGAATACACAGAGGCAGCATGATTTAATACGTGGAAGAACCAGGATTTTATCCAAATCTGGCTGCAGAGACCAAACTATTGCCTATAGGGAATTCACCTAATCCTGTAATCTAGCAGGCAGAGGATTTTTCTTGCTCTGGCATGTCAGAAATCAATCATCTGTAGCCTGAAAAAAATGACTATATATATATCCTCGAGGCCCAAGAATTCTCTTAATCAAAATTGCATTTTAATCACAATGATAGCATTTAATTGTTTGGTTTCAGAATACTTGTGCTGTTAAGTAGTTTCTCCCCAAATTTTGACCTCAGGCCAGGCTGTTTTGATCAGATTCACAAGCTTCACTTATTGCAATATGATATGATATCAAGATTTACAACTTTGTGTACATGATAAACATCACTAATAGAAATGAGTGAAGGATCTTTGTTTCAAACGGGGTTTATTTATAAAGCGTCTGGAGTTAAAGCAGAGGCTTAACTGTAGGAATGAAGAGATTAACTGAAACTGAAAAGATGATGAAGAACATTCATATAGTGACATTATTTGTTTAGTTGGCAGCTGCTGGAAAGACCATCAAAACATCCAATGTATTAATGAAGATTTATTCACTGAAGTGCTTTTTACTGCAAGGGACCCAAGCTGCTTAGAGCATGGGCTCATAAGATTTATTTGCTAAACTGTCCAGGGGCAGATCTGACTGTACTCCAGGGCAAACATGCTGTGTTCAGGACCTGGATTCTCTCTCCATTTCTGAGCTCTACTTTGTGTTGAATCCTTTCTCACAGGCTCTCCTCTGGGGAGTTGCGGGCTCTTAACTCCTATGGCTTGACTAGGAATCAGTGAGAATCTTCATTTAATTTTCACTTAGTCTTATTGGTTCCCTATGGGTTGTGTGCCTATTCTTGAGTTAACCATTTTGGCCAGGGAAATAAGATTCACCAACTGGCTCAGCTCTAGGGTACCTGCTCCAACCTTGAGCACAAGGGCTGAAAGTTGGTAGACCCTAAAAAAAACAGGGATGGTGACCAGGCACTGAGGTATATGTCTATAATCCCAGTGACTGAGGCTGAGGCAGGAGGACTGCAAGTTTGAGACTAGTCTGGTCAACTTAGCAAGATCTTGTCTCAAAAAAAAAAAAAAAGGGATTGGTGATGTAGCTCAGTGATAGAGCACCCCTGGGTTCAAATCCCAGTACTATGAAATATGGATGTTGTCAGGAGAATCCCATTTTAGTCTTATCTAGGAAACTCTGAGATGGGTTCAAGGAAGGGATTTATTCAGGGGTCTAGAGATTCTCTGAAGTTGTGAGTACAGATTGTGGTGTGTTTTTTTATTAATTGCTCAAGACCATACAATGATCTTGACATATCATACATTTGATTCAAATAGGGTATGAATTCTCATTTTTCCACGTAGATTGTGTTTTTAACCCACTTCCTAAGGAGATGATCCATAACTTTGATTAGATTGTCAGAGGGGTCCATGACCCAAAAGAGTTGGCTATTCCAAGTTAATGGTGGACAGATAACCAGACTGAATTGCTTTTCTAAAACTTGAGACTTCATATATGTCCTGTTTTCTTGAAAGCTTTCCATATTGGATGTAGAATTTGCTCTTTAACTGCCTTTTGCCAATGGTGGTGGGCCCACTGGGATTACTAAAGAGAGTAAATGCTTCTAAGAATTTAGTGGATGTCATTTCTTCAGATTCTAGAAAGCTTCCAAGAAAGCTCCGTAGCTGGGGTTGCCATGTGCTGTCGTTGCCAACTCCTGAGATGAAGTGATGCCTAAGGATCATAACAGGGCTTGTCACTGAATCTCCAGATTGGTTGAGTCAGAAGCTCTGGAGGTGGGACCCAGCAATCTGTGTTTTGAGGAGACTTCCAGAGCATCTTTCCAGTGGAGAAATGGCACTCTAAGGATTGTTTAGCCTTTCACTTTGTCCACAGAGGGCCAGCTCCTGTCCTGGCTGCTCAGCTCACCTTGGAGCCTGCCTCAGCAGCATCTATTTGCCCAGGCTCAAAGACCTGCTCGTTCTGGGTAAGAAAGGCCCTCTGGGAATTGTTTCCTTATAATAATTCCAAGGCTGATATTTTTCTGCGAATCCCAGGCCAGGGTCCAGTGTGTGCATTGTCGATACCAGATGATGTTAGTTTTCTGGCTGATACAGTGGCGGGTGAGCAAACATTGTGCAGCCGGCAGAATCCCTGACTTCCTGAACATCCACAATCACAGATTCATTGAAGTTGAAACACACAGAGAGACCTACTGCCCTTGCCCTTTGTGTTTGCCAGGAGATGAGGTTACCCGTAAGCGATCCTGGTAAATAGCAGCCCCTCATTTCCCCTTCAGCCTGCACTTTGGATTTTAATTAGGTTCAAATCCTGCTTGGCATTTTGCTTATTTTCCTCATCTATATGACTCAAAGGCTCGTCCGGGGATGCTTAGACTTTGGTGCACACTGATCTGATTCAGCACATCTGGGGTGGGGCATGAGATTCTGCATGTTAACAAGATCCCGGTTGACAGTGATGCTCCTACAAGGTCAACATGCCTAATAGCAAAGGGCTAGGTCAAGTGACTTTCCAAACTGGCAGCACATTGGAGTCACCTGGGGAGTTAGTTATAGGAGTACTGATGGTTGTGTTCCCACTCTAACACATTCAGGTTTGGGTGTGACTTCTCAGGTGACTTTTATGTGCAATCAGGGTAGAGAACCTCTGACCCTCGAAGCCTTCAGCCTCTACCCACTAGCTCTTCCCCACTTGCCAGCCTGGCCTGCCCACACCACCTCTGTGCTACATTCCTGTATATTTCTCTCCTTCTCTTTTGCATTCATGGACAGCTTATTGTGGACCAGGAACTTGCCACACAAATGGATGAGATCAGCACTACTTCCACCCATTTTGCACATAGAGTCACTGAGGTTTAGAGACTGATTTTTTTTTTTTTTTGTCCTAGGTCACATAGCTGTGAAGAAGCGGCACCAGGACCTATCCTAGAACACAAAAGTAGCAAGGTGTGGGTTTTTAAACTTTTTAAGGATGACTTCAGGAGTTAGAGTTAGGATCCATTACTTTCCTGTGTGAGCTTACCTAGGTCCTGCAAGTATTGTCTTTCTGTATAATGAGGGTGGTAAAAGTACCCACTTTTCAGGATTATCAGGAGCATAAAAGGAGACCCACATGGAACATGCTTCTGGAGCCTGGACAACAGGAAAGGTCATCACCAACTCAACGCCACATAGCATCTCCATGGCACTCCATGGGTCCCTCTTCTGTGACACTGGGCACAAAGCCTAGACTGTAACTCATCTTTTCTATGCACACATTAACTCTTCAAATTAAAGGTAAAAGTATGAAATGGGTGTAAATGTGACTTTGTGTGTGTGTGTGTGTGTGTGTGTGTGTGTGTGTGTGTGTGTACCAGAGAATGAACCCAGGGGCACTTACCCACTGAGACACATCCCCAGCCTCTTTTTATATTTTATTTAGAAACAAGGTCTTACTTAGGGCCTCACTAAGTTGCTGAGGCTGGCTTTGAACTTGCAATTCTTCTGCTTCAGTCTCCATAGCCTCTGGGATTGCAGGTATGCACCACGGTGCCTGGCTACTTTTTGATTCATAGCCTCAGATGTGTTCCTTCACTCCATGGGAACTCATAGTGGGAGGCAGAGGATCACCCGTGTTGGCCAACGGATGGAATTTACACTTTAGTCGATGGAGAATAATAGTGTAGGAACAGAACTTTTAGATACATGCAAGAAATTACTCCAATGAAGTCATTCATTCATTGCTTTCTGTTGACTTAGATCCCAAGAGTGACTCAAGGCAACTCAGCTGAATCTCTCAAGCCACAGGCTAGGCTTGTCCCCAACTTATTTCCCCCACGGGAGGAGTATGGGGGCTCCACCTTGGGTAGATCTCATGTGTTCATGTGACTCCTTTCTATGGGCTCCAAAACCAAGACATAGAAATGTCCAACACCCTGACAAAACCCTGAGTCCCAGATAAATAGGGACAATCGATCACCCTGCTACAGCCACATAGGCCCGGGGTGACATCCTTTCCTTTCTTGTGCCTGATGCCTCAGGGTCTTCCAGCCTTTCATCTTGGAGAGTCCTTTGTGGTGGGGTGGTCCTGCTGGTTTTTCTCATCCCCTTTGTGATGAGGGGTCACCAGCTGCCCAGGACTAGGAATGGCATTCCTGCCTGCCACCATGCTGGGACCTTTGGATTGGATCGTGATGGGTCCCCTGCCTGCTCCCTGCACAATATTTCTCTCTGCACAGCCTGATGTCTTTCTCCATCCTTGCAATGCATTGTGGGTAGCCAAGGGAGGTAACAAGAAGAGTATTCACAACAGACGGGCACCTCCACTTCCCTCCGCCTTTACCTGGCCTTTGTCAGGGCTGTGAACACAGTTTCCCCTCAGACAAAAAACACAATGAATACATTGAGTGGGGCTGCTTTCTTTCTGAGGCCAGTTGACTATTTTTAAACCAGGCAAGCAGCGCCACAGCTAAGAATGCCTGGATTTGAAAATGAGTGTGTGGCAGATTTACACAGAAAACCCTTGCCTACGTTAGGAACAGTAGATGACCACAGGCACTCACGACCACAGAGCTTTATTTTCCTTGCAAAGGAAGTTTGAAGGTGGGTGCTGCTCATATGGATTTAGGGGTCAGCAACATTAGGCTCTGAACTGGTGCCAGTGTCATCCTCAGGGTCCCTCGGGGTCAAGAAATGACAATAGCCACTCCAAACATCAGACCTTGCACAGATGAGAAGGAAGGAGAGAGGTGGCCTAAGAGTCCCCTCTTTCTTGTCTCTCCTTGACAAAGGAGGAAATGATGGCCAGAGCCCCATCTCACAGCACACGTCCCTTTCTATCTTCCTGGTCAGAACTGGGCTGGATACCACCCAAGGGGTCTCTGTCCTATGCATAAGCAGTATTGGGACTCTTTTAGGTAAGAGTGGCTTTGACTGACTGACCAAAAAATGAAGACCTAAATTCTGGTCCTGGTTCTGTTATTATCTTGCTTATGTACAAATATCATGATGGATGCATCATCTTCAAGCCCTGATAATGGCCCCTAGGGCCACTTAGAAAGGAAAAAAACAAACAAACAAACAACAAAAAAAAAAACGGAAGGTGAGTCAGGAGTAAAGTTTTCTGCATGATATTGCTTTTATTAATAGCTTCACAGCAAGTGACAACTTTGAAAGCAGGTAAACCAGAATGTTTTTAAGGTGGACTTGTATCTCAGAGGTTTCTGAATGTCTTTCAGTGGCCCATGTGGGATTGGCCAGCCACCATCCTTTCTTGACGCCAGGCATTTTTTGCAGACACCATAGAGACAAGAGATGCAGATATTGACACAGATACAAGTGTAATTATAGACTGTGGTATCTGAGGATCTCTGCAGAGCAGATGGAGATCCATCTGTTAGGGAAGGTGCCTGAGTCGTCCAGTGAGGGCCAAGGGCTGGGGCAAACCGAGGATCCTTAGCCCCAGGAGAACAGTGAGACTCAAAGGTTCTGGGCTGCTTCTCATCTCCAAGTTCAGAAGTCAAGCCCCAGTTCAGGGCTCCTGGATTCTGAAAGGGACTTGGGACTTGAACTAAGCTAAATCTATCTCACTGTTGAATTGTAGCTCACAAATAATTTTAAAACAGAACAAAATTCCAAAGCTATGGCGGAACCACTGGCAGAGTGCCTTTTGGCCTTCATCTCTGCATTCTGGAGCTAAAGGCAGCCTTCATGCATATTCAGATGCTCTCCCCCTGTGAGGGGTGGGTTCCCCTGAATTTTGCTGGAGGACTCAGGACCAAGGAGGCTAAATCATTAACCTCATGGTATGTTCCCTTGGGTGCCCAAGCCTGGGGAACGGAAGATGAGCAGCCAGGGGTTTGGTGACTGACAGTAGTCTGTCCTCTGGTATTTCCCAGGAAAGATTGGAGGTAGGAAATCAGCATGGACACCACTGAGCAGCATCCATTGAAGGTCTTATTAAATGTGCTGCCTTTATAATCTTGGATATAATTTTGGATATAACCCTGAGAGCTTTGAGATCAGACTTTCCTCCAGATCTCTGCTCTGTTTTGTTCCCTTCCTCATCAAGTTGTGTCATATGAATTGTTGTGTTGGTCAGAAGCAAGACCCAAGGTCAACCCAAGTAATGGGTGGGAAACTATACAACATGACTTTATTGGTGAAGGGGGACAGATCCAGAGCACAACGGTCGGTGGCCTTTCTTTTCTTAATCTATCTCAGTGGATGAGGAGGGTGTTTCTGTTTTGAAACATCTTTCCAGAGACGGGAGTTGTGCCTATGTTTCTCGATGGGCCAGTTTCTGTGGAGACATATTGGTTCTCTGTACATCAGCCTCCAGCTGACCCTTCTCTCGTACTCCCACCTACATCTGGAGTTTTCCAAAAGATTCCCCTGAATCCAGGGGCTCCAGTTCTCATCAGGAATGAGCCTGAACTCCAGATTCTTTCAGGCCCAAAGCAAGGAAAGATGGGCATGACTTTTGTTCCCAGTTCATCTGAGCATCCTCCTGGAAAGAAAAGGGAGTTAGCTGAGAACTTCACCCTGAGTAATTACAGTTGCCTAGGGTTGGACCCCACCAAAATGAGTATGAACACCTGCGGCAGTTCCTTCTTGTTGGCCCCAGTTCTCTAGTGGCTCTGAGCTTTGTGCACATTGTCTTATTTTAGCCTCACTACAACCCATCTTACAGATGAAGAAATGGAGGCACAGAGAGGAGTAACTTCCCTAGGTCACACAGCTCATTGGTATAAACCTAGAATCACATCAGTATGGTCAAGTCCATGCTCCAGGGGGTCAGGTTTTTTGGTTTTGGGGTTTTTTTTGTAAAGGGCTGGATCACAAGCACTTTAGGTGTTGCAGACCTCTCAGTCTCTGTCTCCTCAACTCTGCTATGATGACCCAATTCGGTGATATGTAATTGATTAAATGTGACTGCTCTCATACAAAACTGTTTGTAAAAACAGTCAGCTGCCTAGATTTGGCTTGTGGGCCGTAGTTTGCCAAGCTCAGCCCTGCACCTTCATTCCATGGCATCCCTGCTTCAGCCTCCGTAACGATACAGGTGTATCCAGTGCTTCCAGTGTACGCCAGTGACCCCCTTCCTCAGTCCAGTGCACACACCAAAGTCCTTCACAGGAATGGACATCTGCACTCACAGCACTGGGCTGTGGGGAAGGCAGAGGAGGTCTACAAATCAGGCCAGCCCCGAAGAGAAGGACTTATGATCTCTTCCTCCAACTTGGGAGAAGAGAGAGACAGACAATCTCACCATTTTTTAAAAAAATCATTGCCATTCTCTATGGCTACTTTTTAAAAAAATTGTTACTTTTAGTTATACATGATAGTAGAATGTATTTTGACATATCAAACATACATGGAATATAACTTCCCCTTCTTGTGATTGTACATGATGTGGAGTTACACTGGTCGTGTGTTCATATATGAACACAGAAAAGTTTTGTTCAATTCATTCTACTGTCTTTCCTATTCCCATCCCTCTCCCTCCTCTTCATTCCTTTGTCTAATCCAAAGTACTTCTATACTTTCCTATTCCCTCGTCCCCTTTATTGTGAGTTAGCATCCACACATCAGAGAGAACATTCAGCCTTTGGTTTTTTGGAATTGGATTATTTCACTTAGCACGGTAGTCTCCAATTCCATCCATTTACCAGCAAATGCCAAAATTTTATTTCTCTTTATGGCTGGATAATGTTCCATTGTGT